AAAGACTTTAAGCAAACATATAAAGGACCCCTTCTAGGGAAAAGGAAAAGCATAAGAGGAAGCAGTGAAGGCAATTTGCAACCAAAGACCTAAAAGGTAAACCCAGGATATCCCCTAAATATGTGTAGCACAATATAACCTCCTTGATGTTGTTAGGATCTCTTGTAAGTAACACTTCAACATACAGTGTTGTTCCCCATCTGACAAAGGACTAACAGACAAAAATATTCTAAGAGACTAATCATCAAGCATAAGTTAGTCTTTATAAAAAGTAATGTTCATTCAAAATCATGTAGTTTATAAAGCACTTTCACATATAATATTTCATTAACCATTCATTACCACTATTCAATGACCAGTGAGGGCAGTTTGTTATCTCTATTTTATAGATGAGTGAAGGGATTTGCCTAAATTCATACACTATGTGACTGGTAAAGCCTCCATCTCAAATCACTTGCCATCAAATCCCAGGTGCTTTCCACACCACATTGTGCCTCCTCATTTCACATCAAAAAAAAAAATCACAGCACACTCCCGTCTGCCCAATTTGCACACATGTATTACCAATACTGTAAGAACAGATGTCAGCTATTAATGACACCATGTGTTATAAGTACAAAAGGGAAAGAAAACAAATTCAGCATTTTCTCTGAGAGGCCTGGCACTCTGTTCAGCATCCAACCTATACTTTGCCCAACGTTGTTCTCATAGCAGGCCTTCAGGTAGGTGCTGGCATTCCCATTTATACCTCAGAAAACAGACTCACAGAGGCTTAGTAATTTGACCTACGTCATACATTAAAACAAATGACATAGCAGTGATTTTAACCATGTATCTACTATACCACACTGCCTTATGTGGTACCATAGTGATGACTTTTTTAGTCAACAACAAAGAAAGATAAAGTACTTTCTAGGTTAAAATATTGTGCAATGTTTTAAAGTGTCAAACAACCATTCCTCTACTTGTTGCTGTCATAATCTCACTTCCAAGCACAGCACCTTTTCTCCTTCCTTATTTTCTCTGGTTTATTCTTAGTAACTGCTGGCCTCACTCACTATGCCCTGGAAAAAGGGCTAGTTGTTGGATTAGAAAAGTGATGTATGGCTAGGAGCTGTGGCTCATGCCTATAATCCCAGCACTTCGGGAGGCTGAGGTGGGAGGATCACTCGAGGCCAGGAATTGAAGACCAGGCTGGACAATACGGCCAGATCCTGTTTCTACAAAATTTTTTTTAAAAAATTTAGCTGGAGGCTGGGCGTGGTGGCTCACGCCTGTAATCCTAGCACTCTGGGAGGCCGAGGCGGGCAGCGGATTGTTTGAGCTCAGGAGTTCGAAATCAGCCTGAGCAAGAGCGAGACTCTGCCTCTACTAAAAATAGAAAGAAATTAATTGGACAACTAAAAATATATAGAAAAAAAAAATCAGCCGGGCATGGTGGCGCATGCCTATAGTCCCAGCTACTCAGGAGGCTGAGGCAGGAGGATCGCTTAAGCCCAGGAGTTTGAGGTTGCTGTGAGCTAGGATGACGCCACGGCACTCTAGCCCAGGCAAGAGAGTGAGACTCTGTCTCAAAAAAAAAAAAAAAAATTTAGCTGGGCATGGTGGTGTGAGCCTATGGTCCTGGCTACTTTGGAGGCTGAAGCAAGAGGATTGCTTGTACCCAGGAGTTCAAGGCTGCAGTAAGCTATGATCATGCCAATACACTCCAGCCTAGGGTGACTGAGCAAGATTATCTCAAAAAAGAAAAGTAGGCTGGGCATGGTGGCTCACGCCTGTAATTCTAGCACTCTGGGAGGCCAAGGTGGGTGGGTCGTTTGAGCTCAGGAGTTCCACCAGCCTGAGCAAGAGCGAGACCCTGTCTCTACTAAAAATAGAGAAAGAAATTAGCTGGACAACTAAAAATATATAGAAAAAAGTAACCAGGCATGGTGGTGCATGCCTGTAGTCCCAGCTACTCGAGAGGCTAGGCAGGAGGATAGCTTGAGCCCAGGAGTTTGAGGTTGCTGTGAGCTAGGCTGATGCCATGGCACCCTACCCTGGGCAACAGAGTGAGACTGTGTCTCAAAAAAAAAAAAAAAGAAAAGAAAAGAAAAGTAACATATTCTTAACTAACAGCATTTTATATAGTCACAGGAATTACACAAATACTATTTTTGCCTTGGTTCTAAGTTAATTCTATCAAACAGTATATGTCAGATAAAAGAAATGTGACCCTGCCCAAACAATTGAGAAATGAAAACAATGAACAATCTATCATTTTAATCACCACTGGGGTTTTATCCAATCCAGACAAGACACAAGAACAAAATGCATAAAAATAATCTCATTACCATCCCAGAGTTTGGCATCCTACCACATTACAACTTTGGGGATAGACAGCATTATCATCAAAATACTGCGTATCCCCCTTCAGGTGTTAACTGCTAAGGAGGGACAAGGATAGAAAAGAAAAAATGTAAACATGACACTTTAAATAGTTTTAAACTTGGGAAAATTATTGAAGGACTTCCCAGAACAAAATTTAATTAGCTTTAACAAGTTAAGGTGTACTATGACTCCCAAAGGGGACTTCCTTATCTGAGGCAAACAGGAGGAACTTTCTATTAACACAAGTTATACTCATAACAGAAGGTAAATAGCTAAGAGGCTTTTTAACTATTACTCTATGTTCAGGGAACAGATAGGAAAAGCTACTCTGAGCCAAACTGGAGGGGCCAGTGGAAAAGCCTTTTGGGAGGACTAAGAACAGGGACAGGAGTAGATAAAAAGGAAACAGGAAGAACTGAGCTAGAAGGAGTGTGGGGGAGGGAGGAGGAGCAAGGAGCAAGGAAGGCTGGAACCCAGGAAGTTCTGATGGAGATGAGCAACTCAGGCCTAGAAAAGTAAAGAAATAAATGCCTAGAACAAGGAGGTCTACGAGGGCCTGCCCTATCTTAGGACCCTCCTCTTCTACTAAAATTAATGCTAAAATTAAGCCAAAGGAAATAAACTGGCTAAGACTAGAGAAAATGGAGTTCATTTAAGATACAGGGGAAGGTCCTGTCAAGCATAGGGGAGTAATAACTGGTAGACAATGGAGGGAACTTTTTAATGCTTTTTGAAATGTAACCTTATACAGATAAATTGTACAGTATGTGAATTATCCCAATAAATTTGTTATTTTTTTAAAGTGTGTTAAGCTGGGCAATGACTACTTATGATATAATCAACATGATTAGCTCAGTTGTCTTATAAAAAAGTACCCTCAAATACCCTCACTCAAAAGGGAAAGTTTTCTTGTGTTCGGGAATATTTCTGTTGGAATCATCTTATAAATACAGAAGAAGCAGTAGGAGGGAAACTGGGAGCTCAGTCTTTCTCCATTTTGGCCCTTGGAATTTATTTGATAAAATTTTATATGGTGGTGTAGGGGAAGGAAGCTTTTGCTTGGGGTCTACCTTGAAGTGGAGTATCAGATTTCTTCAGGGGATGATCTAGGGCCAAATCTACCTAGTCGAAGAGAAAACGATCTGGGGTGGAAGAGTCAAGTAAGTTCTGTAGAAACCCCAGAAGGTTTCTCATGAAATGATCACATAAGACTCATCTCTGCTATCCCCAAATTGGACCGAACGCCCCATGTCACTTCCGACTGTTACGAAGACGGATGCTTTGCCGTGATCCCAGAAGTTTCTGGCGAGGGGCCCACTGACAAAATTAGAAAGCCATCTGGGGACCGACCTGGGTGAAGCTAAGCGCCACGTCCAGCGCTGGGCTCCCCTTTCATCCCTCCCAATGTAGGAAAAGAGACAGAGGAGGGCACAAGGCTACCGGGAACGCCCAATCACCCGTCTTCGCCCTCCTCCCTTGAGCCGGGTTTCAGGGAGCCGCCCCCTGGCCCCCGCGTACGCCCATCCCCACCCGCCCTGACCCTAGGCCTGCGACCCCAGGAAGGAGGGGGAAGGTGGCTGCGAGCGCCCCCACCGGCAGCAGGCTCACCTCCCCCGGGGCAGCTGTCGCCGCGGCCCGCCGGGCCAGGGCCTCCCCGGGAGCAATAGGCTATCGATTAAGCTGCCTGTCGCTAGGAGCCCCGGGAGAGCGAGGCCTACACCGCCCGGCCGGAGCCCCGGCCTCGATTTCGCCACTTTCCCCAAACCGGAGGGAGAGTCCGGGGGCAACCAGGCCGATCTGGACCGAGGGGAGAGAAGCAGAGACCACTCGCAGCGGCAGCCGCGGAGAAAAGGGGTGCAGGCGCCAGGCTCCCGCCAACAAGTCTCCCGGGGTTCGACCACCTACCCGCTACCTCGCAAGTTGCGCATTCAAGTTCAGGCTGGTGCCCCTTAGCCTCCAGAGCCCTCGCCACTCTCGAAACCATAATAAAAACAAGACGCGTAAGAGGCCACCACAGTAGTAAAGAAGATGGAGCTGGCCCCTAAGAACGCCGCGGGGCGGGGGGCGGCCAACAGCGACCGCCCGCCGGTCACCTCCCCTCCGCTGACCCCGCCAACCCTCGGGTCGCAGCCCCAAGCCCCTCGGCGTCCGGGTCTGTCACCGCCCGACTCCCGGCCCCAAGACCCCTTCTTGACACCGGGGACAGGGGCTCGAGCTCCCCTTGCCTCTGGCGCGCCTCGGCCTCCTCCCCCTCCAAATCCTAAAAATGCCCCCCGCACCTTTTAAAGTACACGGAGGAAGAGTTTGCCGTCAAACTTTGTCAAGAGATAACCTCGCCCCCCTCCCCGACCCACACTTTTAGGGCAGCCATCAGGAGAGATCACTTTGCACTTAGGATAAAGCGAATTAAGGAGCTGTCAACCATTTTAGGTCTTTTTTATAGAAGACATCCTCTCCTTCCCCTCCCCCTGCAATGGTTTTAATTTGACACCAAACCTTCCCACCGCAGAAGGGGGGTTGAGAAGGGAGGGGGTGGGAACGGAGGGCAGGAGGAGGGTGGCGAGGGAAAGCGAAAGGGGGAGGTTGGAAGGGGGCCGGGAGGCGCGGGGAGGGGAAGGGGGTTGATTTACCTGAGACCAGCCACTGGCCTCCATTGTTGGAGAATTCAATGGCATTGACACAGCCGAAGTGGCCGAGGAGGTCCTTCTTGTAGAGGTTTCTGCAGCCCCGCAGGCGTCTCCTCTGAAAGTCCTGAGTGAGCAGGGGGTCCCCATGCAAGCCCCGCTGGGACAAGAAGCCCACCACTGACCTCATGCTGCCCCCCAGGCCAGCTCTCCTCTTCATGCTGGAACCGCCACCGCCGCCGCTCGCGCCGCCGCCCCTCCCTCGGCCTCACGCGCGGCCGCCGCTCTCCCCCCACCCAACCCTCCCCCAGCGCTGCGATCCGGATGGTTCTTTAACCAGCCATGGCAGGCAGAGCGAGGTGTGCAGACACTCGGTGGCGTTCGCGGCTTCCTGACGGTCCCCTCCCTCTCCTTCCCCCCTAAGCTCCGCCCTCTCCTTCTCCGCCTCCTCCAGCAGCTGATCCTCAGCTGCGGCCGAGCTTCCGCGATGCGCGGCCCTTCCGCCGACCGCTGGGGCCCTGAGAATGTGGGCGTCGCTCTGCCCCTCCCCCGCCTAGGGCGGCTGGCCGGAAGAACACGGGCGGCTGGCCTGGAGACCGCGGGCGCCGGCTGCGCTTTCTCCGCTGCAGCTGCTTCCCGCATGGGGGCCAGGGTCGCGCTGGGCGGAGACCCCGCTGCACCCCCAGCGGGCCGCACTCCTTGAAGTTGAACGCACATAACAATCAGAGCGTCCGTGGGGCTGCGGTCCCGCCCTCCTCCCCCGGCGGCTGGCGGGTCCCCTGCCGCCTAGAGGCTCGGCGCCGGGACTACTTAGGGGAAAATGGGGCCAGAGGTGGGGGGAGTACTGCAGCCAGAGGCTCGGATCCTCCTCCCTCAGTTCTCCTCATCCTGGGGCTGCCCTAGCCCTGTCCATAGGGTTGGGGGCTGGGGGGAGAACCGGGAGTTAGGTAGGACTGGACACTTGCAGGAAGGTGGCCTGGAGATTTTGTTAGTGCACCCGCCCCTCCCCCATATAAATTTTTAACACTACCCCACCTCCCCCCCAATTCAGTTCTCTAATTCTTTTTCGTCCAGTCCTTAAGTAAAAAAGTCTAAATTGTTCAGTCTAGTAGACAATATAGAGTGGGATAAAAAGGAGAAAGGGATTAAGAAGTGAGCGGAAAATTGCCAAAACCAAGTTGAGAAAGTCCAGAGAGGCAGATTTGCAAGATACAAGAAGCATTATTCGAAAATAGCGATACATGTTATTTAATTGGGTGCGGCGAGCTCCTCTTAAAGGTCGTGAGTGGGGAGCTCTGAGGTTGTACCGCTGTTAACCAGCAGCTGTGTTCCAGGCCAGAAGTAGCTGCACTTCAGAAGGATGGGAGTCACCGTGTTGACCTCAGTGGGTGTTAAGTGCTTTGGAATTCTACCAGATACAGTTAAAAGTCCTCTTTTCAATGTATTGTAGTACTTTTCCTAGAAGCTATCCTCTATCATTAAGTGATAATAAGCTACTGAAATAGGCAGGTGTCAGTTTTGCCCTTTCAATTTAGCAGGAATTACACCCTCTGGACCAGAGATGGCACAGGGGCGGTTGAGTACAACCACCATTGAAAAGATGGGCTGAAAACGTGGAAGAGGTTCACCAGTCAAGCAAAATTATCTACTACTTTTTGTGCAATGACAAGGATAAATAAGATTAATCATACTAATAGCAAATATGCAAGTGTTTAATATAATCTACTATAACAAACGTTACTAAACATTTACCAAATTCCAGAAATTAGGGTTTTAATAAAATATTTTTCCCCTAAATAGGAAAATGTGTAGTGCTTTCTTTTAAAAGATTTTATTCTCAGGATATTTATAATAATCCATAATGTTTATTCATTATAATTGCCACATAAAGATCAATAGTAATGTACCAGCTTGATTAAAGATTTATAGCACCAAACATCCTTCCCTCATAACAATATCATAATGTGTAATCATTTATTTTTGTGATTATTTGATGGTCTCCCCTTCTCCACTGTAAGCTCTGACAGCAGGGACCATGCCTGTTCTGTTCAAGGATGGAGGTCCAGAGCCAGCACTTGTGTGCACCTAGTAGCCGCTTTAATATTTGCTGTATACATGAATGAATTTAGAGAGTGGGGAGGATTTTGAAAGGGAAGATAATGATTTTTGTTTTGAATGTGTGAGTTTGAGGTATCCGTGCTTCATTCCAGTGGAGTCCATTCATTGCAAGGCCAGTTTCCCATCTCACTATTCCTTTAACTGGCATGTTCAATTCAGACATTCAAAAACAGGCCCTCTGGCTCCTTCCAATTAATAGGCCATCATTTATACCTACCTTATTTGCCTGGGGTTGAGGAGATGAGCACAGTAATTATGTTCGAAGTGGCCTTTACTGTGGCAATATATAAGACACACCCTCCTCTCCCCTCTTAGGCACTTACCCCTTCTCCACAACTTTAAATGTGATTCTCTTTTCCCCAATCCTTAGAAAAACTGTCCCATTTACCTGAGCCTGAAAATAGACTAGTATCTGGTCACATGCCAGCCCAATTCTAGGACTTTGCTCTAAACTTCCTTAACTGTTCAGTGACCAACAAGGACAGAAATGTAGGACCACCTAGTCTGTTTCTATACTACTTCTGCTCTGGGCAGCTTTTTGTAAGGAGAGTGAATAAAATCTCTCCCTGTCCTCATAAATAGGGTTGTCAGATAAAATATAGGACATCCAATTGAGTATAAATTTCAGAGAAACAATGAATAATGTTTTAGTATAGCCCATGGAATATTTGGGATATACTTACACTAAAATAATTATTGCTTATTTGAAATTCAAATTGAATTACGCATCCTGAATTTTTATTTGCTCAATCTGGCAACCCTACCTATAATATAACCAACTTCAGAAGATCAGGCTCCATGGTATCTATTTGCTTTTATTAAGAATTTAAGCCAGGCGCGGTAGCTCACACCTGTAATCCAATCCTATCACTCTGGGAGGCCAAGGCGGGAGAATCACTTGAGGTCAGGAGTTTGACAACAGCCTGAGCAAGAGCGAGACCCCCCCCACCCCATCTCTACTAAAAAAAAAAAAAAAAAATTAGAAAAAATTTAACATAGTCCTTTGTTGTTTTGTGGGGTTTTTTTTGAGACAGTCTCACTCTGTTGCCCAGGCTAGAGTGCCGTGGCATCAGCCTAGCTCAAGGCAACCTCAAATTCCTGGGCTCAAGCAATCCTATTGCCTCAGCCTCCCAGGTAGCTGGGACTACAGGCATGTGCCACCATGCCCTGCTAATTTTTTTTTCTATATATTTTTAGTTGTCCAACTAATTTCTACTTTTTTTAGCAGAGATGGGGGTCTTGCTCTTGCTCAGGCTGGTCTTGAACTCCTGAGCTCAAATGATCCGCCCGTCTCAGCCTCCCAGAGTGCTAGGATTACAGGTGTGAGCCACTGCACCCAGCCAACATAGTCCTTTGTGTCATTTATTGCAAACTAATAATATTGTACATAACTATATAACAAAAACATTTAGTCAACCTCAATGATCATATATGATCTTTGCTTTTTTCATAAAGGTATTTAAAGTGAAAAAGCCAGTGTACTTAGCTTTAAAGTAGTAGATGAAATTACTCCTGAGTAATTGTGCTATTGCAGAGAATGTGTAGACAAAGAGGAAGAGGAGTGAAAAATTCATATTTTTCTTACCTAGACCCCAAAACTTATGTGTATTAACATTCACACTCAGGAAAACACTGTTTTGGAAATTTCATTCTGGAAAAACTAAGATATGGAAATTGCCTAACACAAGAACTCTTACTTAATTGCTTCGCCATGGATTGAATACTGGTCAAATGTAGAGTTCTCAGAAATTCATTTACTCTCTGTCTTCTATTTTGTTTGGCTCCAATGTCACTGAAGAAAGAGCAAGGAACCTTTAATAACTGACTAAACGCTAAGGAAATGCTCAAACATTAGAAATCGTGTGGGGTTTTTTTAACTAAGAAAACACTAAGCCTCTTCTCAAACTTTTATTAAATTTTAGTACATTAAGTGCTACATATGAAGACTAATATGCTCAGAAATTTTTCCCTTAAAAATATTTTCAACTTTAAAATAAACTGCTACTCATAGATAAGAGATATTAATTCAGGCAAAAATCAATGCCTCAAATATACATATATATTAACTGTAACATTTAAATTTCAAAGGATAAGTTATTTATTGGTCATCTCAAATAGATAGCAGTCAATTACAACGTTTGGAGGTGGGGGAAGAAACATTTATTCAAATGCAAATTCCTCCAACAATATCTATAGGACATATGCCCTTTTTTATTTTTATTTTTTGAGACAGAGTCTTGCTCTGTTGCCTGGGCTAGAGTGCCGTGGCATCAGCCTCGCTCACAGCAACCTCAAACTCCTGGGCTCCAGCAATCCTTCTGCCTCAGCCTCCCGAGTAGCTGGGACTACAGGCATGTGCCACCATGCCCGGCTAATTTTTTTCTATATATTTTTAATTGTCCGGCTAATTTCTTTCTATTTTTAGTAGACACAGGGTCTCACTCTTGCTAAGGCTGATCTTGAACTCCTGACCTTGAATGATCCTCCCGCCTCGGCCTCCTGGAGTGCTAGGATTACAGGCGTGAGCCACCACACCCAGCTCCTTTCATTTTTTAATAACAATTTTTTTTTTATAAAATTGAGGTATAATTGACATACCATAAGATTCACCCTTCGAAGTGTACAATTCAGTGGTTTTTAGTATATTCACAAAGTGGTACAACCATCACCACTATCTAATTCTAGAACATTTCATCACCCACCAAAAAACGCCATACACATTAGCAATCACTCTCCTTCCTCCCTGACAACTATTAATCTAACTGCTGTCTCTATGGATTTACCTGTTCTGCATATTTCACATGAATGGAATCATACAACAGGTGGCTTTTGTCTGGCTTCTTTCACTTGGCATAATGTTTTCAAGATTGACCCATATCGTAGCATGTATCAGTACTCCATTATTTTTTTAGACCAAATATACATATTTGGATATTGTATATTGTCTATTCATTCATTAGTTGATGGGCATTTGGGCTGCTTTCACTTTTTGGCTGTTATGAATATTACCGCTATTAACATTTGTGTACAAGTTTTTGTGTGGACAAATGTTTTTAGTTCTTTTGGGTATAAACCTAGTAGGGCAATTGGCTGGGTTATATTGTAACTTTATGTTTAACTTTGTGAGGAAGTGCCAAACTGTTTTTCATACCAGCTGACCATTTTACATTCCCACAGGCAATGTATGAGGGTTCTTATTTTTCCACATCTTTGCCGTCTTTTTTA